TTCAGATGTTTTAACCTTTCTTCACCTGGAGAAAGGAATAATAATAACTTCAATTCATCCCACAAGAATGTACTAAAGAGAAAACAAAACAGTGCACCCGGAAGTGCTTTGAAAAGATGAAAGGAAAAATATGTATGTAGATATTATTTTCATAAGAGCCGGAAAGTGTTCAACCTTTTGTTTCTAACTTCAAGCATGGGAGAATGATTTCTATTTCCTTTTGCGCCTAATTCGAACAAAAGACACAAATCATCTCACTTCAACTTTTTTCTAGTTCAAGCATTTGGCCTGGAGAAACCTTTTGTCAGCAAGCTGCCAACTTATAAAGGAAATCCAAACTCCACTCCAAGTCAAGTGTATGGGGGTGGAAAGAACAGGAAACATTTCTGGAACTTCCCTGGTCTCCAAGGGGAAACTGAGAAAGATTGCAGCGGTGACTATAACCATACAACCCATGACAGACCCCTGCAGGGAACCAGGTTAGGTTTAAAATTGAACAATAGCTGAGGTGGCTTGACTCTACTTAAAGCTAACCTAGGAGAGTCTCAACTGTTGAAGTAGAAATTACATAGGTTTTGCCCCAAACATAAGAGATGACAAGTGAAGGGTCTTCTCACCTCAGGAACTTGTCCTCAAGAAAGTTCCCTCCGCCTGGAACCCACCTTGTCCTTTCTCAAGGAGCTCTTTCTTAGGGAGGTCTTTCCAGCTGACACCCCACTCCACCCCGGTCCAGATCATGTCCAGTGTAAGAACACAGAGGACCCTGCACTTCTCCTTTGTAATCATTGAGTGTTGTTTGGAATTAGTGATTCATTAATTTGACTGATTAATGTCTGTTTTTCTCTCTCCCCTCCCCCAATAAGCTCCCTTAGGACAGGGAATGGTTTGAGTTCATAGTATCTCCAGAAGAGAGCAGAACACTCTGAGTGGACCCTTGTTAGATATTAAATGAGTGAGGAAAGAAATACGATCTGAAAAGAACTTGAAAGCAGATTATTTCAGATCAAAAATCATCTCTAGGTAGGTACATTTATGCAAACATATGCTATTTACAGTAAAACCTTTAATTTACTATTGTTCGGGGAGGACATATTAATGAAAAACCATAAAATGAGGAGGTTAGTAAGTCAATTTTAATAACAAGTTGGTATAAGGGAATATGCTGCACACCCCAAATAAGGGTTTCTTTTGGACTGGATGGTTTGTTTACAAGGTCTCAACTGCTCATGTTTAGACATTTTGAAGAAGGGATATGAAAAGGACAGAGCTATTGCTTCCCAAGCTTGAAGGTATGAGTTCACAGTCAGGGGACACAGAAATTCCCTCTGGACCAGGTATTGTGTGATGGATCAGAAAGTTTCATGATGGGGCCACCCAGACTTTCCCAAGCTATTAAAACAGCTTCCAGAAGCACAGGTGAAAATATTGGTGCATTCTGTTTACTTTCTTCTGTTTTAAAAAGTGGAAAAGGATGGCTAATTTTGGCATTAATTTATATAAACGTAAAAAAGTAAGATAAAATTTTCAAAAAATGTTATTCAAGCATCATAGCAAGATAAAGTAGTTAATCTTCTTAATTTTTATCAAGCTATACTTCAAGTGACCTTGGTTTTTTTTTTGGATAAAAGTCAGTCCCCACCCCCCTTTGATCTGTTTTTCTTCTCTTGCACACAGTTATTTATGCACGATTTGGTGCCAATTCTCAACAAAATACAGTTTCTTTTTTATTTTTACATTGTGATCTTCCTTATCTTTCAATTATTTATGGAACATATAATTAAATTCCATCTTCCCAGTAAGAGGCTTAAATTTACAACTTTCTGGGAGCTAAGTGTACCCCATTCATTTGTGAGTTAAGCAAATATGAAGAATAAGGATGCTGAGTAATGAAAATCATGTCTTTTCTGGGGCTTTTAAAGCTATAAGGTTTCTTTTCTTCCCTTCAAAAGGTTGTACACAATAAATTACATTGCAAATAAAAATGAATTAAGTGAGACTGAGAGATTAGAGAAGAAGTAAAGAGGCGCCAGTTTCTGTAGAAGATCTTTAATGGCTGATGCTTTGAGGCTATCAATTTGGGGTGAAAAAAATCAAATAAAAATCCATTCCATACTTATTTTGAAGACCTCATCCCTGTCTTTGTTTGTATATAAGTTACTCTGCCAATACTTTATTTTACATAAGATCGATGTTGTTCTGTGTCTTAATATTCTGCAAACAAATTATAATCTTTAAAGGCAGACAGAAACGAAACGATTTAAATTCTGTTTAGTAATTTCAAAGTAATAATAAGTATTCAACTCCCCCGCCCCTTACTTTTGCCATTGCTCCTACTACTACTAGCAGAAATCCTAACGGAGCAGATAATAAAAACCCAAAGAGGTCCTTATATTTTTTCAACGTTCTATTTAAAGTCCATCTCAGGCTATGAACTGCCTTCATCCTTGAGATTATTTGAAATGCATTAATTTTATTTTTCCTTTGAGAAAGTAAGAACAAGTCGAGATCAGAGAAGAAAGTGCCATTTGTTAGCAGCTGGGAGTGCAAACCTGGGTTTACTCATCTTGGGTAAAAATAGTCATTTTTCTCTATAATGGTACGCATCTAGCAGATTTCTTTGAATTTAGGAAATATTCAATGTCAACTTGGTAAAAGAATGGATGAATGAGAAAATAATACAATTTTCACTGTTTTATCATTTTCATCCCCGTTATCTTACTGCAATTTGAAACTGCTTGTTCATCAGGCTTTACACGATAGGTTTAAGGCCTTTCTACAGCAAAACAGGCCTTGCCACAGAGAAATGTGGGTTTTGGAGAGCTTAGACAGGACCTGTGCTCAACCCAGCTTCACATGAAGTTATCTTATCTGACACTTAGGAACTTTTCCATGAGAAGAACGGATTGTTTTAGAGCGTGAAACGAAGCAAGGTGATCCCAGAAGCAGAAATATTGAAAATGTTTTCATGTAGGCAATGACCTGTCTAAATCGAACCAGCACCCCAGCCTTGGTCTATTAGGGAGATGCAGTATGACTTACTCTGAGAGAAATCTTTGCTTTTATCTAAACGACCTACAGTTGAATCTTGTGTCTATATTTCTCCTTTGCTTTTACTTTTTTCTCTCAATCACTGTGATATTTCCCGTTTGTTTTCCCTTCAGGAGTCCTACTATTTAAGGGGTGAGGGAATGAATAAATCTAATTCCAAAAAGACCATTGTTTCAGTCCGCTTTAATAAAAGCGCAAGCTCCTGGCTTCTCCAGGGTGTCGCTCTAAGAGGCCACCACCCAGCACATGTGGTCTCTCTAAGAGGCCACCACCTGGCACCCAGCACACAGGGATTGCGGTTACTGTCATCCCTCCGCTGGGCACTAAGGGGCTTACTCCAGAGAGTGCTGACTTCAATGAAAGCTACTCTGCCCCATGTGCTAAGTGGGAGCACAAACTCCCTTTAAAGGCAAACTTTGCAAATAAGAATAACCTTGAAAAAGACCCTTCGGATGCGGATCAATGCTCTGGAACGTTGGCAACTATTTAACCCCCTTATGACATTTCACAGATATTTACGCAGGAGGACAGGCCTCCTTCTATCCCGAAACCTAAAACTCCGCTCTGTGCCTTGGTTGGAGTGGGAGCTTGTCAGATGAGCCGCTGGGGGAAATAGGCGCCCCCTCGCTCCTCCTTGGTCAACTCAGGTCACCTTGGCAGAGGGCTTCCCTACCCCTCTGGGGATACTTTCTGTGTTGCCGTGACCTGAGCCTCTCCGGGGAATTCTCTTATTAGTTCAGGAGGCCACCAATGGGTGCCAGCTTCCCAGGCCCCTGGATCTGGCTGAAAGCAGAACCATCTAGCGGTCCCCACCCCCCAAGCTCTGGGACGGCTGCGGGGCTGCGCTAGCCATTAATGGCCATCATCCATTTTTAATCAGAAAGATCACAAAAAAGATGGTAAGCGAATCCATGTCGCAAGTCAATTTAAATAACATGTCTGGGGAAATCCAATCACTTAAAACTGAGACACCTACGCGAGCAAGAGCCCCCGCGCGTCTGGAGGGGAAGAGCGCGACGACTGAGTTAATCAAGATCAGGGTGCTCCCGCGCCGAGCGCGGAGCGTTAACCCTTCCAGCCCCGGAGGGTGACGGGGGTCGTGGAAGAGCGCAGCGGCGGGGCCGAGATGCCCGCGGGAGCCCCGCGCAGGCTGCCTCTGCCATCTTGGGCGGCTCCGTTCGCCCTGCGCCTGGCCGGGGCGGCCGGGCGCGTGGGGTTAAGGTCAGAAGCTCAGGAAGCTGCTCAGGCTGCGAGGAGCCGCCGCCTCCTGCAGCCTCGGCTCGCCTCGGGCTCCTCCTTCCTCCCAGGCACCGCCAAGTGAGGGCTGCTCCCGCCGCAGGTAGTAAAAACTCAGAGCTTCCTTGAAGAAGTGACGATTAAGAGATCTGAAGGAGTACTCGAAAGTTAATGAGATGAAGAAAGGCAGGGCTGGGGAGGAGAGTTGTCTTCCAGCAGAGAGAAGGGCATGTGCCAAGGCCCTGTGGTGAGGAGAGAGCAGAGTTCATGCCCTCCGGGCCATTGTGAAACTTAAACAAGATCATCCAGTAAGGCACTGGTGATCTGCGTAATGTGCCTGGCACACAGTAAGCACTCAGGATGTATTAGCTATGATCTGTTCTCATTTTGTGGC